AAGAGGCTCCTCCTCTGTCCCCAAAGTAACACGAGTTGGCAGCAGATGTCATACTGCCAGCAAGCAAAGAATGCATGCCAGCCTAACATTTGCTCTTCTCCCCAGGGTCAGGAAGAGAGTCTCACAGCACACTCACAGGAAGATCCAGCAGACTATAAACATCTAAGAGTGCTCAGCACCACCAAAGTAAAAATCTGAGCTCTGCCAGACTTTGGATACATCAAGTTCAAGGTGAGTACTGAGAAATAGCAACCACAGTCACCATCTCAAGAAAACTAGGAGACACCAAACTCACAACACACTTCAGGACTCTCCTCCCTCAGTGTCCAAGGGCTGGCTATCCCAGAGCAGGCAGCAGCACACCTGCAGGGACAGCAAAACTGTGCCTTAGAAGCAGCCATGCCTTTGGACCCGACAAACTTCTGCACCTGCATATTGCAAAATCTCAGGCAGCTTTCCTACTCTATCACTGCCAAGGCAAGTTCACTCCTGAGAAGACCTGCACAGAGCATCTTCCTCCATGTTAGCAGGACACAATAGGCCCATCAGGCATCGCTCCATGATTAACAAATCAAACCAGTAGAAACAGGTTTTAGTAGGATGTTTGTTGTACACCAGTTCCAACACCAGAGTAGGGACTTCTGACTCATTCCCATCCAATACCCCACCTGGGGAAGGTTCACATGACAGGTCTTTATATTTCCTCCTTTAAAAGACATTAAGAAAGCTGTCACAGCACACTTAGGTAAGCAACTGGACAGGGCACCAGTGATTACTCTGTATTAGCAATCGCACACCGTCACTCTGTGGTGGTGTGAGTTAACAGAAATATTTCTAACACCCCGGATGCATTACAGTGTGGCACACCCTGGAATAGGGTGTTACTTTCTAATATCTTTACAAAAGATTAGTTGCCTCCTGTAAACACACAGATGGCAGCAGAGACACAAGAGGTACTCTCTCCAAACCCTGCATAAAGCTGAATAGAAACTTCAAGAAAAAGAAAAGGATTTTTATGTTTGTATGATTGTCTTTTTCCAAACATCTCAAAGGAACAGCTTCACTGTCAGAATGGAAAAAAACTTCAGAGAGTAGAGAAAAATGAACCATCAGTTGCAAGAACAGAGATAAGACTCTAAAGAAGCAACAGTAAAAGTCCTGTTACGATTTGATTAAATGTGGGAGTATTTGGAGCAAAATAACCTAGATGCTGATAACCCATCACAAAGTACTTTTCCTTTCACTGCATGTACTCACCAATACCAGCATAACGTTTGAAAGAAAAGACTGTGCTGTGTAGGTGGGGGCAGGCACACACTCCACAGCCCTCTGTGCCACTTTTCCTGTATAGCAAGTTTTAAGCAACCACATCCAACTTGATCATCAACTTTCACATCAATAATCTGCACACAAAGAACTGTGGCCAAGGAGCACAGGCATTTACAAGAGACTGAACCCAAGCCATTTAGAGTTAGAGCAGACCACCTCTGCAGCTTGAGCTGATGAATCCTCAAAACCACCTTTTATACTTTTGAGCTGTAGAGTCCTGGAAGGTAATGCAAAAAAAGTCAGACAGTACATAAGGGCCACAGTATTAAAACCCTCAGACAGTGTCTTTAGTGCCTTTCAGTTATCACAGAACACATTTGAGACCTGGTCATCAGCACCCCTGGGACATAACTTCCTATGCAGATATCTCTTGCAGAGGAATGAGAGTCATCCCTCTTGGTGAGGAACATCACAGCAGAGTGTAATTCTGCAAGATACCAACATGCCCCTGTATCATGCAAATTCAGATCATAAACCAGTATTTTCCAGAAGCTACTAGGGGAGACATTTATCAAGGTAAAGATTACAGTGCTGCTTAAGCAAACAGAAACAGTCACACTTAACATTAACTGGAGGTCATCAGTGATACACACTCACTTTTAGAGTACAAATTTTGTATAAAGATATCATAGTACCAGGAACAAAACAAAACTAATTCAGACAGAGAAGTCTGTGAAGGTTTCTGTTATATTAGGAGCCAGAAACACATTAGCCATTTGGCTTTAATTACATAGAAATTGAACTTGATGCTACACTAACTTTTACTGTAAGAAAAGTAGAAACTATACAAGAGGGAATGGTTAGACTAACAGCTGCCATATATGACTCTTAACAGCAAAAGCAGAAATTAACAATGTCTGCCATCCCCAACAGAAACCACCAGGGTAGCAGTGTCCCAGTAAGGAGAGAACTGTCAGCTGGACTACAGAACTTTGGTTCTGTTCATTAAATTTCACTTAAATGTAAAATAAAGCATTTTCCTTCTTTAATAAGGTTTTATTGTATTTAATTTTAACAAGCGTATCAAAACCTGATTTAGCAAGTAGCAAGATAAGATTTACTCTATGCTCATATTTATATGTGTGAGTAATGACTTTGTGGTGCTCAAACCCATAATCTCAGGAGAGTAACAACAGTTACTTCCCGCTCAGCTGTTACAACTGAAATCATGAGGCAACCTGTGACATTAAAATTCTTCTAGATCTTAAAAAAGATATTCCATTAAAACCCAAACAAACCTAGAAAGCTATTTCAATGAACTCTTACATTCCATGTCTAAGGGTCATTCTGGTAGGCAATACATCTTACTTGGCAGAAGTTTAAAGTTTAAGCATGCAAAACCTCAGTCCTATAATCCAATATATGTTACAGTTTACAAACATTAGCCTACAAGGACATAAAATCCCTCCTCTAAAACTAAAAACTAATGACTGAGCCCCATGTAAACATTCTGCCAACTGTTCCAGTTGTGCTTCCGGCAAAGATAGAAAGCTCTCACATGCAAAGGAGGGCTGTGCCAGCCAGCTCACACAGCAATTGTCACCTGATGGCACCACCCTTTGAGAGACACATGTCCTTCTTAAAAAGGTAAAGATTCTGGAGCAGCTGCCACCTCTCAACCTTCCCAGAGCTCAGTGCAGGGCAGAGCCCCAGCTCGCACCAGTGCTAACAGCATAACTGTGTCAGGACAGCACCCGGCCCAGCAATTCAGCTTAGGCAGCTCCATTAAACCCAGCCTCTTTAGTGCAGGGTTCTGGGTCCCAAGAGCAGTGAACACAGAGGCACTGCACAATGCAGCACTGAAAGTACACTCTGCGTTAGCTTACAGATCTCTGCTCCACATCAGCACAAGTTAATATTTAGGGTATGGAAGACATCTCTAAATGCATTTAGATGTTAGCATCCAAGCACCAGACTCTAGTGTTTTGCTAACTAATCCTTCATATGCTTAGATTCATCGCTCCTTTCATGTAGGCAAGCCCATCGGACATGCTCTGGTTCTGCAAGTTAGCACTGACCATTTTTGAGAGTTCCTTTGGCAGCATCAGGGCCCATCACATAGCTAGTAAGTGCCCTCACTTATGTGGCAGTTTCTGAACATTCAAGTATTTTAATCTCATTAACGAGGTTTTTATGGCAGGGAAGTTTCTGGAGGTTAACAGCAAAATGTATTCTGCCAACTAAAGGCACACTCTTTTCCTGCATTAACATAAGCCAGGAAGAAAAGCACATTGACACTTTTGCAGTATCTTAGGGGACAGATTTAGATTTTCCTGATATCTATAAATTGAAGCTATGAATGAACAGAAGCATGAAGAGTCAGGAAACCCTGCTCAGCAGGTCTTTGTTAACCTCTTTAAACATGAAGAGCCAAGCTTCAGTAAACCCCTTAAGATTCAATCTTCTTTCATGCCAATAACCATTTTATTTTCTGTTCTCCTTCTTCCAGGAATCAGTGTGAGTATTTTAAAACACAGTATTCAGTTTGAAGGAAGTGAAGTGTTTATCTGGCCACAGCACTGGAGCTTATGCAGCCAGGAGGTGTAAGAAAAAAAAAAAATCAATGTCACTAAGCATAAGCACTAGAAACTGTTTATACTAAGTTAAATTCAGAGAGTTTTAAAGCCATGTGTATTATGACACTATATGCCATCAGACCAAAGTGTTTAAACACATCTTGAAAAAAAAATAAATTAACCTTCCAGAAGTGAACTCCAAGGAGAAACAGTACATAAGGAGGCAAGTGGCCTAAGTTTCATCACTGTGAAATAGAGTGCAACACTGCAGTTGCAGCACTGGTGTCATTGACATAAAGCATTTCAGCCAAGTCTTGTACAACTGAGTATATCCTCATTGTGCCAGCATTTTAAAGGAGACCTTAACAGAGACAGTACTCACTTCACAACTGGTTATACAGAAGACCAAATAAAACACTAAACCCACGTCTGTATTTTGTAGCCATGGCTCTTTCAGTTCACACTGTCCAGCTTTTTAAAGCTTTCTATCTACTGCAGTAAGATAAGCACTTTCCACTCACACTGTATGGTTCTATCCAGCTTGTGAATAAGGACATTAAGCATCAGGAAACAGGATTAAAAATCATTTCCTAGGAAAGCAAAAATACTTTGAAATTGTAAAATAAATATGGATTAGTTGCATCATAGTTACTTGGAACAACAGCATTACTATATCATGCAAAAAGGCAGACAGTGACAAGGAGCTACTAAGGAGCGTTAGTTTAAAACAGCAATATTATTACGAAAGGTCCCTGGCATTTAACATGGAATATTAAGAAAACCCCTACAGCTTGAGTATGCAAGGAAGTGTAAAACCTATTCCACCTTTGACCAAACATTTCAAGGCATTTCAAACTTTCACACCTGTGTCTCCACATTCACATATGAGAACCGCTGGCAACTCATTATGCTGAAATTGAAACCAATTCCTCTACATAGCTATGTGTTCTGTCAATGTACTGCTCAATGAAATACATTATTCAGTAGCCTTGGGAGAAACTCAGTATCTCTTTTGCTCTGAAACATTACTGAAAAGTTAAGTCACAGACACTGGCATCAGAGGCTTAGCTTCACGCTGCCAAATGAAGTGATCAGTATAAGTGGTAGGCAATTTATTTTTTTTGACTTTGTATTTCAGGTCAACAACAGCTTTACCTGCATAATGCACAGGGATTTCTATCTTTGGCCCTATGACGTAGTGACCTTCCTCCAGACTGTGAGCTGTAATTGTTGTCCACTGCCGACATGAATGAATCAGAAGATAATCGCTCTCCCGAAGACCTTCTACAGCTTCACCTGCAAAAGAGATGTAGGGTTGTTTTGTTTCTTTTTAAAAAAACCCGACACATTTATTGCATGAAGAATTAGGAAAACTTCGCATCAAGTATTTTATTCTTATTGATGCTTATTTTTTCCAGACATTTTGGTATTTAAAAATTCAATAGAGTAAAATTTCAATTCTACACAGCATTCATTTTTGCAGCATAAGCACTCTACCTTCCAGAAAACAAACAATGCAAAATAACTCAGTGCATGCACACAATATCACAAAGGTACATCTAGATTCCTTGGTGGTGGCTCTGGGGCTCCTTTTTCAGCTTTCTGCATAAACAGATTTTTCATATTTCTATTTCTCTCTGCCTATCTCACTCAATACAAATACTTGAGAGGTCTGTTAATTTTAAAATAAAGGCAAGACAAAGACATTTTCATATGTTGAAAGATCAGCATCATACTACCCTACAGCCACCTGAAGCCAAACTTTGTTCATCCCTATGAAGTAACTGGATATCGCACTTGCAGATACAGAGATTTCATCTGTGTCATTCTATCCCTTTGTAAGTCAATGTTTAATTAGCCATTCATATGTCTGTAAACTTAATCCTACCACTGAGTGAGGAGAATTAAATAAATAAATAAATATTTAACACACACCAAAGTCCCCTCTCAGAGATAAATTCAACCAGAAGCTCTCCCAGACAACACCCAGCTCATCTTTGTAAGGCCTGCTCTCATACTCTTGTATTCCTGTGTCTGTCAAATCCATCCCAAACACAGCCAGAGATCCAGCCCTCCTTTCTTTCCCCATTCCTAGCAAATTCTCTGCTGAGTACACTCCCCTTGTCCATGGTTTGCAACACCTGGTCAGGACTAGAGTGCTTTGCTTGGTTTTCCAGCAATTGCAAGAGCCATATTAAACAGACCACTCAAACCACCTCACGCATGACAGATGAAAGAATTGCACAGAGCAGGATGTGTCATGGCAGACTGCTCTCACACACCTGCAGTCCTGTCCAGTAGGTTTCTGCAGTAAACACACAAAACCAGCCTTTATCAAGGTGTCTTTAAAGCAGCCACATGAACTTTCAGGAACACTCAGTAGACACTAAACATGGGCCAAGAATAATGGAGATTTAAATTTCATTTTCCTTCTCTCCCACCAGCCCTCTGCAGTTACAGCCAAAAATAACACAAGTAGTTTAGCCCTGGAATCAAGTTTGGACAAAACCCATCCCCTTCAGCTACTACAACAAACTTCACTTTCTCCTCACTGTCCTCCGATATTCCTAAAACTCAGAAAAATGAGAATTTCCGCAGCCTAGGGCAGCAGATATTTCCCTTCTTCAGCCTCTTCAGAGTAAAGCTACTTCCCATTGAGGTTTTTTTGCCCACACCAGGCAATCTTTTCCACCATAGGCAACAGCTACTACACACCCCATTCCTGCCTGATTTCATGCTCCCATTATATCAGAAAGCAGCCTCCTACATGATTCAAAACACAGCAACTGGTGTGCGTGAGAATTGTTAGATTTTAAAATCAGAAGAGACCATAACAACCATCTGCTCCAACAAGCTTCAGTCACAGGATTCTGCTTGTTTTCTCCAGAAACTTGGATTTGGCTAAACAAGGGAAGAAATCTGGCCCAACCTGCAGTGTCCAGTACATGGACTTCCTTGGGTCTGCTGTTCCATGGCTTCTTAAATCTTAAAAAACATTTCTGCTTTGCATATTTGGGTCTTTAATTTATAAGTGGGGATAAACTGCTGTTATGGGGGTGTAGAGAAGGAACAAAATAATTTAAAAAATTCAAAAGGTATGTAGTTTAAGTAAGTAAGGAGTAACTCAGTGCCAGTTATCCTTTCTCCTATGAAGGTACAATTTCCAGGTTTCCTTCTTTTTCACAGCACAGGAAGTAGCTTCCAGGTAAACAAGCCATTTCCAAACTGGTTTCCAAGTGCTCCTTGCACCACATCCCTTGGGAGCCCAGACAGGCAGGCTGCTTAACACCAGTTCCTCCTCCCTGGGAAGCACCACCCCTCCACCCACAGCACACAGAGATAAGGGACCTTGGAAAGCCTAGGGAAGAGGGGCAAAAGTGCCATGCAGTACCAGAGAACTCTTTGGTCCCATCTGTATCTTGAGAGAGAGAGTCATGCATCCACTAAATTTTAGCAAATCGTCAGACCTCGAGCATCGCCTGTTTTCTGCTCTCAGGGCAACTGCTAATACATATAAAAATTATCTTCATCTTACTGCGGAGGTTTACAATTTTGAGGGAAAGCACAATAATGGTGTTATTTGAAAATCATGTTTCAGTTCAGAGAGTTACACTCATGCTTCCTATAATCTGTGGCAACAAGTAATTATTCTGTCCCACAACAAAAATCAAACCAATGACACTCAAGGGATGAACTAGTATTTTACTAGTTTCACTGACAGTAGTAAACAAATTTGGAATAAAAACCAAAGTATCTCTGGTATGCTTTTTCCCTGCTTTACAATCCATAGGTATAATTGCAGAACATTACCTAAAGGAAGGTTGGATTCCACATCCAGGATTGCAGGGAGATAATTACAGCATGGGTCACCCTTGAAGAATCTGAGAAAGATACTCTCAGGAAAATAAAGACACCCATTATGAGAAGGTGCTTCCAGTCATGGCTCACATGCTGAGATCTGTTTAAGTGGTTACCCCACTAAAACTGGGTGGGACAGGTGAGTGTAGAAAGGGATTAGTAAGGCAGGCCCAAGAGTGACTACGTAATTAAATCTGCAGCTGGAAGTAGCTGTATTTTTTAAACAGAACCTTGGAAACCACATTTCTTATTACACCAGTTATTTGTTGCAACCGATTACATTGGAAATGAATTTCATGCTTTGCCGCAGGAGATTGAGCCGAGGAGAGAAGGTGGAGCAGATGTGACAGGGAGTAGACATTCTCCCTGGTTCCTTCACAACACTGCCTGTTGTGAGATCTGCTGCCTGTCCTTACCAAGCACTGACCTTTCCTAACCATGGATGAGACAGATTCCTGGGGTTGCTTTATAGGAAGAGGCTCCTTGTTTCCAAGGAATTAATGGACTCGCAAAAACACCTGGCTAATGATGTCCTTCATGCTACGGAAGGCAAACATAACTGAGGACAACAGAGCATGGCGATACAAACTCAGTCCTTTCTTCCCTTTTCTTCTAATCTGTCTCCCTCTTAAGACTCACTCACTGCTTTTAAAGCTATTTCTTCCTGGAAGGGAGGACCTTCCAGGCAAGAGACACCTCTGACCCTTGCTACATGACTCAGCTCCCAGCCCAACCCAGCCCAGACTTAGCCCTTTACACGTTTCTCAGCCAACCGTACCTTGCAAAACAGCCACACACATTCAATCTGATTTCCCTCCCGCCTCAGTAACACAAGTTATGCAAGCCTTCCATTTATTCCATTTTAGCTACGTGGGAGAGAACTCAGCAGCCCTCACATTCACCAACTACGCAACTTGGTTCTCACCTATTCAACACACTCCTACGCAGCTGCTTACATAAAAACAAGATGCCTTGAGAAAACAGAGAACACAGGCCACTCATCTTTAGTAACAGTTTTGTATCTTATGATCCAGTATGGATTAGCTCTATCATTTCACCCTCCCCACCCCACATGCCTGCAATGTAATTAAACCACTACAAAGAATCTACAGGCAAATACTTGTGTTTTTTTCCCCCCAAATAAAAGTCAGAGAAGCAATGAACTATCACATGCAATTCCTCACCCTTCCCCAAGTTGCCTACCTCTTTCCAAAATATGAGTCAAGTTTATTCATAATAATGCCCAAGACTAAGAAACCCATGATTTGCTAAAGTGCCAAAACCCTAAATAAAGTGTTAACACCCATCCTTGCTTGAGAATAAAAGCCTCACACCTCTGAACCAAAAACTTAGCTGGTGTGTTCCAACACAAGCTGTCGTCTCACAAGCACTCTGACCACAACCAATATTTGGCTACTTCACCCTGCACCACCAAAACAGCTCTATGACGACTCTTCATGTTCATTGCAAATAAAATGCACTATCGTTTTTTCGATTACATGATCCATTTCCATACAATTCCTAAAAATCCCAAATATTGCAAACACCACCCTTGTTGAAGGGCAGTCACAGCGAGAATACTGATCAGGAAAGAAAAACTGTTCACATGTTGATACAGTTGAAAAACAAAAGGCAATTGCTCAATCAAGAGTCCCATGCTTATTAAATACCACCTACATCAAATGCCAATACTTCTTTAATAATTCTTTCCAGTTCCCAAACTGGATCATCCACATTTGGCAAATCTTGGCTCTGTCATTGTAAACACTCCACTTTCAAATTAACAGCTAACAACTGTAGCAAGACTGGGTGCAGGATACCTCAATCTACAAGTTTAGAGATGAATTTCTGTTTTCACTTGCAGCTTTTAAGAACCAGGTGAGAAAACAGAGGTCAACTATGTGCAGAGACCGAATTTATATACAGCAATGCAGCAGCACAAAAGGAAGCTCATTTCTTTTGAAGCAAGCACTGACCTCCTTACAAGTTGTTGCCACAACTTTCTAAAGACACACGCTTTTATTTAGTTTAGCATCTCACAATTCTAAAAATGTCTGGGGTAAAGCCTCAGGAATAGAACTGAAGACCACTCCAGTTTTGAAGGTTCTGAGCACTTCTACCTCCTCTTTGCTTCCTTCTGGATCACAGAATAGCTCCAGTTGGAAGGGACCCACAAGTCCAACTCTCTGCTTCTTGCAGGACTGCCTAAAACTAAACTGTATGATTAAGAGTATCACCAAGATGCTCCTTGAACTCTGACACTTTTGGTGCCCTGACCACTTCCGTGGAAAGCCTGCTCCAGTGAGTGACCACCCTCTCAGTGAAAAGCCTCTTCCTAATGTCCCGTTACAGTCCAAAAAAGAAAATTCACACAGGTTTCACATACTCTGTTTGCCAAAGACAACAATGACTTTTCAACACCAACCACTAAAGAAAAA